CTCTAACGCTTGAGCCATGGCTTCTCCTTCGCTGCCTGGAGAGGACCTGGAGTGACCGTCCCTCTGCACCAAGGACGGCACAGGGCAGAGCAAAGCCCCGGTCTCTCCCATCGTGCTCCCCGCTACGCCCGCCCGGACCCCAAACCATCCCACCCTGCCGTCAAGGCAAAAAAACCGCCTCCGTCTTGCAGAGACGAAGGGGTTCGCTTTCTTATTTCAGGAGAAAAGACTCCGTCTGGTATCCCGGCTGTGACACAGACCTTCGAGGAAGGCGAACATACACAGTGACAGTGAAGTGGTAAAACTGCCTTCTGCAAAAAGCACGGTGACTGCTGCCACCTCAGCGGGCTGTATCACTGCGTGATTAAGTTCTTACCAGACTTTTTGGTAAAGGCAACCTTCCTGATCTGATAACTGCCAAGGACAAGCCAAATACGCAGGGTCAATCTATGCACATTTAATCCCCAGAAGGCAGATTAAGTGTATAATTGACCCATATAATCCATGTATCATCTCCAGTGAAATGTTTTCTATGTCCGGTTTAGGCAGACATGAGGCCCGTAAGAAAGCGATCAGAGACACAGTATTACTATTGCAGTGGATTTCATCAAAGTTAGAGATGGCTTTTTAATCACTGATCTCAGAGACTGCTAGATTTAAGCAGATGAACTAGCACTAAGCACATCTGTTTTAATCCTTATCTTCTACTCAGGCTGGTGTCTTCAAGAAGTACAAGGAGGAAAAAAATAAATTAATTTTTTTTTTAGGTCCTCGCAATCTTAGGAGCTTCTCTTGGTGTTTTGATCTCTCATATCAAAAGCATGTTTTTGTTTTTTTCGGTAAGATATTGAATTAATCATCAGAGAGAAAAATGCCATCTGCGCTATTTAAGGACTGCATCAGGATGCTGGAATTCGCAGGATCTCGGGGAGCTCACTCGACGTTCAGTGCCCTTTTGTGTACGTGCTACTCGCCTGTGGCTGGGGAGGAAATATTCTCGCTATGTTTTACATTACTGTTTACCAATTTATGAGGAAGAAAGGTTGGCATTCACACTGTCTACTAGTCAATCATAGACTTGCTGGATCACATATGTTCTGACGGGTCAAAACCTATACTGTGACTATCTAAGGGTGTGTGTAAAGATATACACACGTACAAATATGTATAAATAACTTCCACCAAAGAGCATAACCCTTACAAGTAAAACTCCCACTGCCTTCATACAAAATTACGGATTTATAACCTTTGATCCTACAAAATTCTGAGTGTCCTGAGCCAAAGGGGACCTGAATTTGGCAGGATTGGTCTGAAGACTTGAGATCACTCTGCAAGTATTTTCCCGTGTTTAAGATACACCCGCCTGCCTCTGCCTCATCGTTCCTATAAACAGTCACATTCTGCATGTCAACTCTGCCCCCTTTCCCGGGAAAAAGTGATAAAATTTTACTTTCCGCCAGGCGCTACACGGGGTTTGCGACACTTCTACGTTGCGTGCAGAGCATCACAGCGGTTTAAAACCTAAAGCACTCAGCCACGCGCAGGAACGCAGGGAGCGGACGCTGTGGTGCTATTCTGAAACTCTTCTGTTACCACTGCTCTCTACCAACGGGCCTTATTACAGTGTTTTAGCTTTAAATGTTATCAAATTAGTGAGCCAGGTCAAGCAAATAAGTCATGTTACCCTGCAGTAAACAGCACTGGCAAAAAGCTAGTTAGGTTTTGATTACCAGCAGAACTCCACCATCAATCTGTTCGCTCCGTGATCCCAAGAATATAGATTTTTAAAATTAAGATGACTCTGTTTCAGGGGGGGAACCCCCTTCCTTCCCTGCCCCCCCCGGCTAATTTGCAGAATTGAGAGGATTAACACACAGACCACACAGAAATATTACACCAATATTCCACAAACACCCGTATCTCCCAAAGACCACCGCTGGGTCTCGTGCAGGTGGGAGCAGGGCACGCAATGCAGGGGAAGAGAGATGCTTTCTGAGCTAAGAAACCATGGCAAATACCAAAAAAAGACGTATTAACCCAGCTTCTGTGTGGGGGATGGCCTAACGCACTCTGCAGCCTCTGCTCCTGGGAGGAAACAAAGGGGAAAGGAGTGGAAACGCTGGGCAGGACTGCGGAGAAATGTGGGGATTAGGAACATCCTGGGAGCTGCACACACCACCGAACATGCGACAGGGAACCTTGCCCTGTGCAACTCTGCTCGTGCACTACTCACAGCAAAAAAATAAGAGTCTTTTCCTGACTGCACAGAAAGGGGATTTAGCCCTATATTGTGAGTGTCTCTAGTGCAATCCCGTGAGAGCAGAGGAACTGCCTGCAGGCAGATTTAAGCTCTTTACCTGCCATTGCCGCACGTATTAACATATAACATCCTAAAACTGGACTAAGCTTTTGGCTGGGGTAAACCAGCATGGCTGCACGAAGCCAGCGCAGGAGCTGGCCTCCAAAGTGTTAATAATCTCATTGCCTGGAGAAACTGCAGCTAAGAGGATTGCTCCTCTGCCACGCCGGGGGAAGCGAGAACAAAGTCCGGCCCAAGTCGAATTCAGCGTCATAAAGACCATTTTTGATTGTCCCTCTTCTCTTTCATATTAAAAAGGCAGCTAGCACCTCAAGCATCCTTGGAAAACACGACCACCACTGCAGAGACCAAAAGAGCTTAAACACACCGTGGCCGCGCTGCTTTTCCGTGTTAGGTGAGGGGGGCAAAGGGCTGAGATCGAGCTCAGGACAACACCGTTAAGCATTTGCTCCTGTCCTTACCAAAATGCAGATGGACACAGCACCAATTTAAACAGGGTCTGGGTCCAGGTGACCCCCGTGTACTCATAAACCCTGCCAGCAGCACCTCAGCCGAGAACTGACCTCAGGGGCATTTAGCTTCTGCGGCTGCAGCCAGGCAAAGACCATACATGACCGCTCAAAACATAGCTCCTGATTTTGGGTGGCCGGGGCTCGGCACGTCCCCTTCCCTCCTCGCGACCCAAGGGCCCCGCAGGTCGCCCTGCTCGCGGGCGCACGCTCCCGTACGCGAGACACGTGTGAACATGCTGCCGGTACTGGGTCCCAACGCCGCCCCGCCAGCATGGGGAACGGGAACGGGAATGGGAATGGGAATGGGAACGGGAATGGGAACAGTTCCCACACGCCGTGGCTCCTGCCTGCAGCTGGCGTGGATCAAAACAGGCGGAGCAATGTAAAAGCCCAACTCTGGATTATTATACTGCACACAGACCAGGGAGACTTGAGGAAAGCAGGGAGGGAAAGAAAGGGTTTGCAGTTTTTGCTTGCCACCAAGGTAGCTGCTCCTTTTTTATTTTTTTCTTTTTTTTTTTTCTTCATGTCAACTGTTAATTTGTTTAAAATATGGCTTGGTAAAACTAAGTATGAGCGGATCAATCTGAAACCAATATTTGTGCTAATTACAGCCTTTTGAAAATTGGAAATAATGGCCCAAAGGGTACAAACACACCAACTGTGATTCATAGGGAAAGGATGAGGGAAAGGCAGTGTGGGCATTGAAAAGAACAGTCCCGATGAGCTCTGGAAATTTAACTGCTCATGGAATAAATTTCAACACAAACGAGCAATGCACTCGCAGGCCCGCTGCAGATGGAAGCGACAGTCTTTTGTTTTATGTTTTGTTTTTTCTCCCCATGCCTGCTTGATGGGTGATTTGCGTCTGGTGCTCTGCGCTGCAAACTCTCCCCGGAGCGAGCCCGCGCGGCGCCCGGAGGAGGCACTGCTGTGCTCCGCGCATGAATGAGGCATTCTCAGTGGATATGGGTCATGCTAGTAGATGTACACAGTAAGATTATTTGACTCTAATTCATGCCACTTGATATAATGTGATAAAACATTTGACATGAGAGATAAGTTCCATTTTAATCTGATTAGGGATGGGGGAAAGAAAGAGTGGGAATTGTAAAGGAGGAAGAGGTTTCTAAGGGACAGGTAATGCGCAGAAAGAGAGGTATCGAGTGAAGGAGGAGGCTGGTTGGGAAAAAAAGCAGCTTTCCCTGCACACTGAGGAAGCAAACGAGCGAGTAAAGAAAGCGAGGAAGGTTGTTACAGTTCCAGAGCCGGGAGACTGAGAAATGGCACTGCTGAGAGATGAAAGGAAGGAAAGTAGGAACAGAAGCCGCTTCAAACAGAAATCGATATATGGACAAATACCCTAAAGGAGACTGAAACACTAATGCTACAGGCTGGCCGTCAACAGAAAACCTTCGCTATAGAACAGCTACGAGGACAGAAAGGCTGTAACGCAACAAGAGCAACAGAAACAGAGATATCGGTTAACATGCATACAAATCCAAAACAAACGGGCATCACAGGTCACTGTTCTCTTACAGTCCAATGAATTTATCTTGCGCAACAGAAAAATAGCTCTGAGCATCTGGGTCAGTTCCTACCATGCCAGCTTCATCAAGGAGACCACGTCTCGACTTTACCTTTGGTGTCAGACACCACAACATGGTCCTCCTGAAATACGGAAGTCTATTCCTAATCAGCTCTGTTTTGGTTAGCTTGTAAAATTAAAATTTAGTGCACTTAATTCACTGTCAGTTTTGGAGTGCTCGTCAATGAAACACACTGCAGAATGTGCGGAAGAGATGGCCCTTAGCAAGCGCATCTGCCAAAAACCCGGCTCAAATTTTAACAGTGAGAACAATGACCAAGATGTTCTGTTACAGAGAGAGATTTTCCACAAGCTTAAACATAGTAAAGGGCTCTCTTAGAAGATGCTGTTCCCTTAAAATCCACGCACAGACAGACCAAGACACAGTAGACTAGAGTAGAGATTTAAAGCAGGCAGAGAGCAGATACGAGCCTTAGTCAGAAAGAAAGGAAAGATTTATTTATTTTTTAAAGCTATAACCAATAAATTTTCTCAAAATGTGACTTATCCTCCTGTCTTATTTTGTCACATTTTGGGTCTCTCCTGCTTGGTGTCCAAGGAGGAGAAGGCATTTACTTACATCAAATAACCTTTCTATATACATCTCCTCATTGACCTTATCACGCAGGACATCCTGAGAGTGGCGGACAAATGTCACATAGGCATCAGCAACATCCATCCCCGGCTTCTGCATGGGGGAGAGAAGAAGAAGAGAGAGAGAAACGTGAATAGCAGTGGAGGGGGCAGCTCCTCTGTGTAGCCTTGTCGCTGCTTTTCCTTCTCCTCCATCTCCTGCTGTCCTCCTGCAGTTCGCCCTTTTCTTACCTGACAGACACCGAGTCCTGCTGCTTTGCCCAGCAAAATACTGCGCGCAGCACAAGATCACGCAAAGACACTTGCTCTTTCTCTTCTTTTGCCTAGAGCGAAGCCGGTCGGAGGAATAAAGGTCCTCCTCGACATACCGATGCCGGGAAGTTGTCTTGCTACCTTTGGTGCTGTTGACCTAACGAGTGAACCAGCAAGCTGGGATGGGGATTTGTTGTTCTCTTGGGTCATCTTCTCTATGCAAACCCTCTGGTTTCTGTGGGTAGACAGCTAACGGCCAGAGCTGGGCTCTTGGTTCTTCTTCTACGGTGTGAGGACGTGTGCGGAAAGCAGCTGGTGTTGCAGGAGGCATGCCAAAATCACCTCTCTTTTCCTGTTTAGGCCCCTGACATTAGCTCACCTTTAGTGCTGCTCTTAAGAATAAATTGGGTAAATGGTAAGTCAGGGAACATATGTCTACGTGAACGTTTAAGCTGCTGCTAAACCACAGGAAGCTTCCCCGCGCTGTCACATCTCTACGGGCTCTCTGCAGAATTTAACTGCTTTTAAACAGCAAACTACAAGCGTGCAAGACTTTGGGGACAACAGCATTTCCTTAAAGAAAATGAGAACTGAAGCAGGTGGAAGGGAAATTACTTCAGAAAAAAAAAAAATCTTGTTTGAGTTCACATTGCTTGATATATTGGAATCAAACTTACCTCAAAGGAAACCCATTAAAATACTGTAACATGAGTCATTACAAGAGCTGCCACAAAATCTTAAATTTCCATGGCACATTGTAAGTTTGTTAATAACTAGTGTCATTAGTTTCCATTACTATGATTTACCTCAGATCACAGAGTATCATTTCTCTGCAAGATACGATTGTCAGCCGCTGTAAATTGAAGTTAGTTAACACATCTGTGTAATTTCCAGGGTGAAAATGAGGACAGTTTGGAAAGCAGTGGGAAGGGAGTTTTTTAATACAAAGCAAACAATTATCAAGCAAAGGGCCAGTGCTTGGCCCTTGGGAAGCCAGTAACATTTCTTAACACCTACTGCAACAATGACAAGGTATTAATTTGAAAAACAATGAGGACAACACAAATGTGGCAGTAGTCAAGTGTTACACTTTCAAGCAATTTTCAGCACGCCGATCGTGCCCATTTCAAGGTGGCATTAAACGGATTGGTTTGTACCCAGACAATTGCAACAACGTTTGCGGAATTAGATTTAACCGATGGTTTTCTGTTCAACACCAGCATTTCCCCTCCATCCCCTAAAAGCAGAGCCTCTAACCAAACAGGTTTTTCTTTCTCCTTCCCCCAGAGGGACAGTGGCTCACGGACTGTGGGGTGGCCTCCCGCAAAGGTCTGGGAGCTGTGTGGGGCTGGTGGCTGATTTAATCAAAAATTTTGGGGCTGTCAAGGAAGCTGTTGTAACGCGGCTTCATTTCCAGGGGGAGGAGGGGAAACAATCAAAAAAGAACCCAGATGAATGATTTCTCCTCTATTTTACGCAAAGAACCGGAGTGTCTGACTGGCTCGGAGGATGGGAGCCAAGCCTTGCTCCTCCCGCACAGCCGCGATGCCACGGACCTCCCAAGGGCCTCCCAGGAACGATGAGAAAATGCTTTTGGAAAAGCCTAAAAGGGTTATATAGCATTTTACCGAGACTACTTCCCTGGAGATGCTTTACTTTCCAGGAACGTAGAGGCTTCAGAGAAGGCCATGCTTTGCCCTAAAAGTTACTTAAAAATAACTGTTCTGTGCTCAAATTCCTGATGACTAAATATGTAATATGCACTCGAATGACTAGGAGCTTCAACTGAAGGACGTCCACATTTTCTAGGCTAGAAATGAATTCAGAGCCCCTCTTTCTAATGCTCTCAATATCTTGTTTCTATTACTCAGGATGCCCATCTCTGCATTGGGGTATTTTAAACCAAGCGAGACCTCCTACTGTTCAAGAGTTTGTCGTCTCCATGCTGGGCTCATGATACGGTAATTTTGTAGGCACGGTTTATCTTAGGCTAAAGGGATGGAAACACCAAACGCAGGTGATGTGGTCCAAGATGTCTGACAAATTTATCACATTGTCACGTGAGAACATGCAGAGCAATCGCATCTGCATTAAATGTACATACACAGACATTATACATACAGGTCAGCAAACTCAACTGAGTTACTCTTGATTTACACTGCCCAGTCTATCTGGATTCAGGAACTGGTGTGGTATATTAAAATCTACTCTTTTTTGACTTATAATTGCTCAGGATGTCTCTGCCTATAAATGTTACAGTAACCCCTTATTCCAGCCAACATTCATATATTACACTTCAACTCAATTTAAATGTAAATTTCTGGCAAGTTAAGTGCTCTGTCTAAGAACGTTAAGGGCTCTTTTCCTTATGAATCAAGGTCTAATTAGAGGAGACGATGTACAGTTTTCCTATACCAATTACAGGAAAATGGAAAAAATTATTTTCATTAACAATTTCCCAAACACATGTTGCTAGCTCATCACCATTTCCCCAAAGTAATAAAAAAGTCATTTTCTGAAAGAGTAAAATAAACCAACAATTAGAAGAACAAAAATAAAATAGATTAGCTAATGTGTTAGATGTGTGTTGGCTCAGTTCTAACATGTCTGGACCTTTTTGTTTGGAAATTATACTGTATTTGTACAAGTCCAAATGAAGAATTAACAGAATGCACTGCTCCCATTTTTTAAAAATGTGATTCAAGCCAATTGCATAAATCTGGTACCTTTTTGACACCATCTGCAAATTATTGCCTAAACAGCCTCGTGGGTCTCCATAAGAGGGTAACTGCTCATTATTAACGTCATGGAGATACTCTTTCCAGTTCAAATGTTAGAAGTGTGAAGGCCCATGGTTCAATCTTGGCTGTTAATGCATAACGTGGGTTGCTACACATGCCATAAACCAAAGCACGATGCAAATTACTATGACAGAAGTTGTTTAAATTGTGCTTACGGGTACATCCACGTATTTGGAAGCAGCCTTCACCTGTAAAAGGAACAAGAAGAGAGTTTACACCATCAGTACGTTTTCAGGTCTTTGCTTTTTCTTTAAACACCTGTAAGAGCTTCTCCAGCCAAGACTTGAGACAATATAATGCTGAGTGGGGGAAAAAAGGTGATGAAAACTACGTTTCCTGTCTAAAAGAATAGGCAAGGGTGGTATTTTTGTTGTTGTTGTTTTGGAGAGGTAACTTTGCTGCTGCTAAAGCTCTAATAGCAACAGATGATAGTGTGGGAGTTGTGCTTCTCCCTCTTCTACTTCAGCGAGCGGGGGAAGACGGGGTTCGTAAGTAGACATCGTTATTTTCTTGGGAGGCCTCGTTCTTCGCCCAATGCCACGTGTCTCCGAAGGCAGCGCGTGTCTCTCCCGTCGGGAGCTGCATCCTGGGGACTGTGGGAGACCCCGGCAGCGTGGGCACAATGGCACGGCGGGGCTGACAGGCACCCACACCAGGGTGGCCACCAGAAAGTGCCCAGAGGACCCTAATTTCACCCCCTGTCTATAGTCCCACACGTCGTGTACTTCCCCTGGCTTTGCATGCTGCAGCCTGGGACGTTATTTTCTCCTTTCCTTGCCAGCCCTGACGCCGGCAGGAGCTCGCAGACCGTGTTGGGGCAGCGTGCTCACACCACGCCACGCCACGGAGAAGTGCCCCAAAGCTTTTCTGCTTCCCAGACTACAACAGCTACATTGGTGTTCCCTCTGACCTTTTTCCCCCCCTCTTTTAAAAGATGTGACTTGAGGGAGGGTGTCAGAGGGGAGGACATCACTCTCTGCGGTGTCCTCACAAGCCGGCGGGGGCTGCAAGACCCCAAACGTACTTTGTCCGTGGTTCGCCACGCAGCAGGGTGCGCATCGCCTGGCACGGGAGGCGAGGTGGCCCCCAATGTCAGGGCCAACTCTTCCAACTGAGCAGCGCCCAGCTGGCCGGAGAGACCTTTTTTCCCACTGTAGCATAAGGCACCCTGTCTAGAAAGAGTACGGCTGAGATTTTCCGCAACGCTTCTGCTTTTAATTAGGGGAAGCGTTGCCGGCCATCTTTGTTTGGGTGTAAAAGCTCACCTGCTTTTAAATATTTCTAAAGCTACCATTAAAACAGCCTAAATATAACACGCACACAGTTGCATCTTGGGATGAATAAATTATGTGTCCCGAATGAGAGAATGAATGTATGTGTGAGACAGAATGTGAGAGTGGGTGGAAGCACTCATATGGTGTGTGTGGGGGGTGCATAATTAAGCACAATGAGGCGATACAAAAGACCAGACTGGTGGTAATTGCCGAGGTGAACGCTGCAAAAGTATTGGCAGCGCCGGGGCTGCTGAGCCGGGGGGCAAGAAGCGAGGGAAGGGCAGGAGGAGGGCAGCGAGCGCCTGCCACCAGGCTCTGGCTCTCCGAGGGGCCGGAGGGGGCCGGGGCACGTCCCAACGTTTAGAAAGGAGGTAGCAAAATCAGCGCTCGCCTCTCCTCCAGGTATCCCGGAGGAGCTGGCACTTAGCAGCCGCAGGCAGGGCTAGGTGGGCTCTCTCCAAATGAGCTCTTTTTTCTGAGTGGCAAAGCTAAAACAACCTGGAGGAAAACTCGGAAAACGATGCGGCTCTGCAGCCGGCAGCATTGATGGCGGGGGCCGTGCTCAGGGCTGCAGCGTGCCGCGCACCTGTATCGTCAAACATCACACCAGGCATGAACTACTGCAGCGGCGCCCCGGGAAAACTGCGATCCGAGTGTGGATTTAGCGCTCGTAGGTCCAGCCTAGCGCCGCCGTCTCGAGCTGCCTTCTTCCCCAAAGCCAAGAGGCGACGAGAATAACTCAGCCGGCTTCCTGCGCTCTCCCCCCCTCCACCCACAAAAAAACTGAGCTGCTTCTCCTGCCCACTCCCCTTTAATCAGAATAATTACTTGTTTTTCTTTAAACTCAGATTTGGCTACATTTAGTGAAATTTCCAAACTGCCGGATGTTGTGTGATTTTTGCTAGGCTGCCGTTTTTCACAAAGTATGTGACTTTGCCATGAAACGTCTCAGTTTACCATACAAATTTTGCGCAGAACAAAAATAAGATCTTTTACTTCTGTCTCCCTCGGGTAATATGCAGTCTTTAGTTTTAATTACCGTAGGTGTAACTCTCCGCCTACAGAGGCCATCCAGATTAAAGGGAATTTTAGCAGCTGTCATTCCTGTGACTCAGTGGATCTGCACACGCGGACGCCCAGCCAGGACCTGGGCTGCTGCCGCTGAGATGCACTTAAATGTAGCAACAAACAGAAAAAAAAAAAAAGAAAAAAAAAAAGTCTGGCCAAATTTAGAAGGGTATTTTCCTCTCAAAGTGCTCTGCAAGGAGAAGTGGCTAGTGAGAATTTATTAGGACAACAGATGCATTAATTTTATCTTGAATTTCGAGGCAAGAATTGGAAATGAGGATATCCTACTAGGTGATAAAACTGTCTGTCACAAGACCCCCCGATTACATGTCACTTGCAGAGCGCCTGGAAAACACGCGATGAAAGAAGTCGGTGGAAGGGGGTGGGAGACTAATGCTTTCTAGAGCTCAGCGGCTTGGACCATCACACTTTGTTGTATTTGTTCAGACAGGGAAAACGTGGGAGGTGGTGCAAGCATGCTGTAACAAGAGAGAGTTTCTCTATTTATCGTCGCAGGGACTAAACACGGCGAATGCCATTACTACTGCAGGGAAAGGAGAGTTGCCGAGCCCAGTGCCAAAGGGGTCAGGGCTGTTCCTCTGCCTCCTCTTGCCGCTGGTGCTGCCCAGTGGCTCCCAGTAAACAAGCGGATCAAAGCGAGAAACATCCCTTGCCCAGAAAGGAGCAATCTTGCTCCTCTGCAGTGTACCCAGCTCCGTGCTAGGGCAAAGGCTCAGCACCTTCCTGGGGACGAGCACACACCACACGCAGTAACTATTTGGATGCACACCCCTTCCCAGCTGGAAACTCAGGAAACTGAAGCTGTGGAGCTGGGCTCAAAGGCTGTGGGGCTGTTGGAGCAGACCGTTTTGCTGCTGCTGGGGCGGTTAATTGTGAGTAAGTGTCTGCGGAGCAGCGGAGCGAGGATGCTCGGTGCCCATGCACCTATGTGCTGCCTCCTCACCGCTGCCCAGAGCCCGAGCACAGCTGGGGGCTTCGCTCAGCAACCAAAGGGAGCAGCACTCAGCAGCGTAAACAGTAGGATGTGGTGGGAGCAACGCAGCACCAACCGAGGAACAGCTTGGATTCATGGAGAAGGAAGGGCTGCACATTACACTGTCTACCCGGGCTGATGCCGGTGCTTCCGATGCCTGAAAAGCTGCCGCCTCCACATCCTCTGCTGCTGGCACGCCAGCATCTCCTAACCCCCAGCAGCACTGGAATGAGGGAAGGGATCCACCCCAAGCCATCCCCTGCATCCCCCCGAGGGGGCGAGCACAGCCCTGGGGCTGTAAGTGCACAGGGCTTGTCCTGGGGGAAGGGCTGCACCGCGGGGCAGTGAGTGGGACACCCTCTCTTTCACTCCTTCTCCGAAGAACAAAGTGCCTCCAGCACACCTGAGAAGTTGCGACGCTTAGTTTGAACCCCACGGCAATGCAGATGAGCTGCCAGACCGTGTGTGCACACAGCTGCCTGCGAGCAGGGTTTCTTGCCTATATCCATTCCTACATCCATTCTTACCGTCCCCCTTCCAAACGGATCCTACAAAACCGCCTCAAACTCAGCAAAGGGGCCCAAGAGCAGCCAACACCAGACAATCACAAGTAGCTAAGACAACGCCTGAAAGAGATTTTGGAAACCCTCCCCAGTTTGCAGAGCAGTGCCTTCTGCCTCCCGCCCAGTCCCCGCGAGCACGTGAGCGCAGGAGAGGCTGCGCATGTGGGCAGCGGGGCCGGTGGGCGAAAATGCTACTGCAGCTCTCCAAGCAAGCCCAGGCACAGGCATTTGGGTGCACACCTGCCTGTGAGCTGAGCTAAGAGAAGCCACGCTTGCCAACAGGCACCCTTCTAAACTTTCCGGCATGTGTTTTCAGAAGACCTTTGAAAATCGGCTGCTGTTTGCCCTAAGAAGCTGTCACGACAGTTCTCTGGACTACAGCTCAGATTGCTAAACCCTTGTGGATAGTGAGGCCAATTTTACACGGATATTGTTCTCGTCCTGTACTTTACTAGGAAATACGTAATGAGATGAGCTGTGGATTGGTTCTGCAATGTCAAGGAGAAATGTGTCATGAGAGGCACCTTGTGCTGAGTAACCTCATGGCATTTCCCTCAGCTTGTTCTCTTTTAGAAACATGAAGACACTCCTTAGACCTCCCTTATTTTGTTTTTTATTTCTGAAGATGGTGACTGTTATGGCCAGAAGAATGAAAGGAACACACCTGTCATGCAAGGTGCCAACGAAGCAACTTCTTCAGTTATGCAAACTGCGTGTACAGTGCAATGATTATTTTTCCCATGATTTTTTCATCCTCAACAGAATAAACTCCAGCAGCCTGATTGATGACTAGAGATAGCCTGACACTTGACAATAGGATGGCCTGTGCATCTTGGGTGTTCACATACTGTATATCTGCACAGAGGTTGTGTATTCATGTGGGGGTTACAGTGCTCAGACACCACAGTATGTCAGAATTATTACGTAGCTGATTTAGTCCCGGGAGAGCAGGAGATTACAACTCAGGGGAAAAAAAAAATAAGAAGAAAGGAAAATATTGTCTGTACTTACAGTAAATGACAGGAAAGAAGAAAACAAAGTTCCTTCATCGTATCTAGACAGTTTGGCCAAGACTCCTTCCAAAATGGTGACAAACTATGAAGACAAAAAAATACTGCAATTATTTTTAATAATTGAACAAGGGCATAGAAATCAGCATTAGCTTCAAAGAAGTCAGTGGAGCTCTCAGCATTGCCAAAGGGATGGACAACCTGTCCCCGAGCACAGCGGGCTGGGGAGCGGGGAGAAAGGAGCGTTGCCTTTCAGGCACTACGTCTCGCTGGGTGTATCACCCCTCGGTGCCACGGGCGATGCTGGGGACAGGAGGTGGCTGCAGCGCGTGGGGAAGCCAGCACAGCCTCTCCGGACGGGAAACTGGTGGTTCCTGCTCCCAGTACACGGTGTCAAACACGCAGCTAGCTGGGTATTCTTGCAGAAGAATTGAACCGGCATATGTTGGCGGATTATGTTTAAAGGTCTCCACTGTATAATAGGGATGACTTGTTCTCAGAAAGTTTGAAACTAGAGGAAAACACACCCCACCATCTTTCTCCCGACGTACCGATTCCCCTCTGTGTTAGCGCAGCACACCAGACCTACACACCAACCCATGGGGAATGCTGGCAGCTCAGCTAGAAGAGCCGGCTCTGATGAAAAACAATTTCCAAACAATTAAACCTGACATTTTGGAATGTATTTCCCGCAACCGTCACCTCTAAATTAATTTCTTAGAAGAGCATATGGCGATCTTGCACAAGATGAGTTATTTTGTCCGCACAACCTTATGCGTAGGAGTGGTGACCACCTCGGCGTGCCGCCCCAACGTCTACGCAGCAGCATTTAGCGGTGCCACCCCCTGACTGCAGCTACCCTCAGTGCCGTGGGGTGATGCTGACCACGGGGTGTTACCCCATCAACATAACACCCCTTCCTTAAAACCACTTCTGGCCCAGTACGGCAATCCTGCTAGCAGCATATTACATCTCACGCACTTCCTAATCATCAAAGAGTCACCATGAAAGGACTGGGAGATGTACGATCTTGCCTGTGAGAAACAAGAAGCCAATTCAACATCTTAATGTGTCACATTTTAATGGAAACGCACATATTAAAAACGCAATGTTAACAGTGAATCACTTCACCTGAAGCCGAAGGTTACCTTTGCCACTAGGAGTGTTATCATTTCTTTGACGGTTTCCTCAATTAGTTCATCTATTTTTGAATGGTACTGGTGCTAAAGAAAAATAAAAAGAGAGGGGGAGGAAAATATTAGCATTGATCACAGGAAAGAGCTCTACGGTTTTCAGCCGCTTCCCTTGGCAAACCACAATATGCAGTATTAAACCGAAGAATTATGCAGCTTATTACCCTGTGCTCCACTACAGCGGCCAGTGATTACTTCCACTTGCAGGACAGACCTTGAATTCAGGAGAATCTTACATCAGTTTGTGAAGCACGGGCAAACCCTGCCCTCTTCTGTGTGCCCACAGCCCCGGGAGCCACAGGCAGACGTGGGAGGGGAGGCTTTGCCATGCCCGAGGGCACTGGCACCCAGCGCTCCTAGAGACCCCAAAGTCCTTTTGCTTCAGCTCTGCGGGCACGATCCTGTTCGTTTCGCACGGGGATCACCCCTGACACTGCACTGCGCCTGCCGAGGGCTCCGCACACCACCCGGCCCTCGGGATGGGGATTTGCCGCTCCAGGGGACCTGGCAGCGGTGGAACCGCTGGAGACGATGCTGTGCACTTCCCATCCTCAGCAGCGAGGCACGTGAAACGCACGCTACACGCTGGGGTCAGCAGGCGCGCGGTGCAAATCAAGCACCGGTTTAAACGCTTTGCTCGGTGACTGTAAGACAGATTTAAAACCCCCCAACAAACCAAGCTGAGCCTTTCCATCCCATGCAAAAGCCAGCAGGCAGGGCGGCCCCGAGCCCTGGGCGATGGCAGAGCTCAGAACGGGCTGACCAACGCCAGTGCCTGCGGCATCCGCCTTTCTGCGTCTTCAGCCCAATTTTTTCTGCACATGCCAAACCTTGCTTAGCTTGGGAGCTCTGATGCAATCAGCTGCAATATGGCTAGAATAGGTACTAAAATACAGTCTTCTACTAATTTAGAAAAGACCTGTTTCCAATACAAGATTTAATTAGTGAAAACATACAGTATATTCTTATTTTCAATGGACTGAGAAAATACTGATTATGACTGCTTTCCAACACAAAACATTTGATTTTTCAGTCAAACATTTCAAGCACTGGTGCTAGTCACTATATTCATTACCACTTGGCATTAATATTGTTTTAAAATGTTAACATCAAATCACATTGAAAGAGACAAATCTGCTTTAAATACTAATCAGACTTTGGGAAGGAAGACTGCGAGGGCTTTACAAATGCTAGATGTTGGTCTCAGTGTCTGATCAGTAGTCTCTGAACTGCTCTACGGTTTAGGGATTTTTTTTCTACGACAGTAACATATTAAAACAGGGATCTGGAAAAAGAAAATAAAAGTAGGACACACTTACCCACTCTTTAGCAAACTTTTCAGATGATTGGGGACAGAAATAAAGACGAAAGTGCAAAAGACAGGAAAAAGAACACATGAAGATAAACAATAAATAAACCAAAATCATTAAAAAAAAGGGACATATGAGAACAGCAGCATCATGCACAGAAACAATAAGCAATGGAAAACGAAATGTGATCAAAACCTCCTTCCACTGAAACATCTGAGATCGCTACCTGTAGTATTTGCAGGCAGTAAAACAGGGGGAAGGGACGGGATTGTACCTAACTGCGGACAGTCCCTTATGGTTTTATTTCGCTCCGAAGGGAAAGGCGACCGGCCGTCGACAGGCAGGGTTTGGCAGCGGGGCGGCTGCACGCCCGTCACCAGGAGGTGCCCAGGAGCGAGCCCTGCGGCAGTGCAGCGTGGACGGTGCAGCACCCCGGGGCCACGGACCTGTCTGGGGCCACCCGGAGCCTCACCGCGGCGGGGGGGACAGGCTGGCACCCCCACGCCACAGGTGGGAAAAAACATACATCAGCAAATGAGCGATATTTGCATTTGCAGTAGGCATTTCCACGTCCTGCTTTGCAGGTTAAGACATATATAAGTCCCTTACAGATCGCTATGATCGGTCTGTTTAACGCAGAGTTAGCCCTTATCAGCCCCCAGGATTGACCTGGCTGTTCCCAGCACAGCTGGAGATATAGCTGTGGGGTGACGGGGACCTGTAACAGCTGGGTACGGGCAGAAGCCGCTGGTGTCCTCGGCACACGCAGCCAGGACCTCTTAAGGAGATGAAGAAGGGATTGTGTGTGTATTGGGGGTGTCTTCCCCATGACATTTTTCTGCTCCTGCTCTGCTGCATTTTCGGTGTGCGTGGAAGACCTCGCAACCAACGGTTTAGCTAACTGCTTTCCTTGGTAAGTCATGAGTTTTCACTCAAAAATGGCTCACTACGTGCAAAACAACACACTGTGAAACACACTGACCAATGCGTTTTCAACTAGAAGCTTGTTTAAAAGGCAAATAAGAGCCCTGATTGAATAAAACCACAGCTGTGAGAGCGGGAGAGGACCCTGCGCGGGCACCAAGGCGGTGTTGGCAAGACTCTGACTGCCCGTTCCCATTGCGGTCGCAGTCCCCGGGGCAGACTCAGACCCGGTGCCAGGGCCAGAGACTGCGCAGAATAGGGCCCGTGAGGCCACGGGTCCTGCCCCAGCGATGGGCACCCAGCGCCGGCCGTCCCGCAGCCCCAGCTCCACCTCGGGAAGACGAGCCTCGGGCAGGACGGGGCCGGAGAAGACAGCGGTTTGGGAAACCCACTGCCTGGTGCTGCTTTCCCAGACGCCTGGCTCGTAAACCAGTGTTTCCAACAGCTCCTTCCACATGTCTTATGAAAATGGCCAAGGTTAAAGATCGCGTAACTGGTTCGCTTTACCCAGCGTAGCCCCTGCTTTCGGTTGAGTTCATCGCAGCTTTCTATTAGCTCAATTATTACAATCCATAATCAGTGCACCACAATGATTCAACTTGACTTTATGTGATGAGTATCTTGCCTTGTCATGTAACAGATTGTGTGTACGTTGTATTTCTCTAAGGACCATCTGACCTTAGATATTAAATAGAAACATACTAGACCAACTGAGAAACATTTAATACATACATTTATCCCCTTAGATGTATTAAAAATTCAGAGGAAAAATAAATATTTAAGATGGTAAAGTATGTTTACCAAATGTTTTAACAGCTGCCTTTAGAGACAAGGAAATGGAAATGAAATGATGGGTGTTTGTTTCGCAGGGTAATGCTCGCAAAATGCATTCAAGTATCTGTCAAAGTGTCACCCAAGGTAGTCTTAAAGGGACGGCCATGGGGGTGGGAGGGACACTGCGGGAGTGAGGTCAAACACCGCCTCGAGAGAGTCTCTGCTCACGTACAGCCTGGGCCGTCGGAAAAATCAGTGGTTTGTTTCTAATACAAATGTGTCCTCCAGCGAGGTCTGGGCAAACGCCCCTGCCTGAGCACCGCGCTGGGCAGTTTGAGCTCTTTTTGCTGCTTTTGAACTATCTGCAAAGGCACCATGTATTTTAGGAGCCAGGCGGTGGCAGTGGCACTGAGGGAGGGTCCCTCAGCGAGGAGCATCTGTCCCTCCCTCCCCGTCCGTCCCTCCCCAGCGGGGCTGCCGGCGGCCACGCACCAGGGATGGGGGACAGAGGGACTCAGCCATGCACAGACCCAGGTCCCTGAACTACGGAGGAAGACACAGGCACGAAACCCGGTTTCTCATCCCTCTGCTGTCTATCTGACCGTCTCATCATTTCCACTGGGGACGGGAAGAGGTGGAGTGGCATTTTGTCCTCCCCCCCGTGGGCTGTAATGACAGATCTGTATCTTAACTTTTACCTGCCCCCCCCCAGTATGACCACCTCAGCACACAGCTTCAAGAATAGGAGATGCAGGTAGCCGAAATGCAAAGTGGCATAAGCGAATGGAGGGGGAGGTAGGAACGCTAATTAAAAAGACTAAAAGAAAAAGGGAGGGTGTATAAAATGCTGCAGCCCTAAACGGTAACTTATGCACCGATAATTTACATCTGCTTTACAGGTCTATTAGTTCAGCTATCTGTAAAAACCTCATGCCCCAGCAAGTGCTGCTTGCCACAGGAGAGAGGCTGTCTCCGCGGTGCCGAACCAAACACCTCCTGGAAGTGGCACAGGCAGATTTGCAGAGTTAATCCCGACCGCAGCCGAGACCAGCGGAGAAACAACCGCGCTGCCACCCGCTCCCCTCTCACTTGCAGTTTGAGTCAGTGCAATGGGACCAATGCTTTAAATGTGGAGGAAACTGTGGCAAGCACAGAGCATCACAAGTTAGCACGGAAAGATGCAGCGAGTGCCTGGTCACGCTATATCCAGACACAGCTGATGGTACCAGTCTCGTGCCATCTGAATACTTAACCTGACCATTTTATGAATGCAACGAGCTTGCTCTGTCACGATATTGGAGTCTGCTTGATCTCCGAAACATGCCGGTCCCCAGGGACTGTGCTAGTATAACACACAAGGGTTTGATCCTGGTTTGCTGTGGGGATTATCGCAACCGTGGCCCTTCCCAGCTGCCAGGGCACTGCCAGGGCAGATGCTGCAGCAGCTGTGGGCTCAGGGATTTGGACAGATAAATGGGGATGAATATGGAACAGAAAATGGTGGAGAAGTTCATGTCCAGGCTCGCACAACAAAAGCCCACTCAACATCTGCCTCAGCAGACCTGGAGGATGAAGGAAGAACCTGATGATGAGCGGCTTGAAACGTTCCTTGCAAGGTGATTGTCACAAATAAAAAGTTATAACTGAAACGTGTAAGAAAAAGAAAAAGAAAAAGAACTGCTGAGTCTGATCCAAACACCACGGACATCAGGGCAAGAATCCCTGCTGCATCCGGTGGCCTTTGGAGCAAGTCCTCCCAGAGGAACAGGGTGAGGCAAATGACTAAAACCCAACAACTTGCAGTGATTCACTGCAAAATCTGACCATGGAAAGCTGTGGCGAAAGGGCAAAAGGGCTTATCTAGGAAATGCTGATAGGCAGCAGGACAGGAGAGACAAACAGTATTTGTGAATTTATTCTAGACTGGTATATGAATATTTAATTTGGCTTGAAGCCACTGTAGCAAAATGATCATTACAATGCATTTAATCTAGTCCAATTTACCATGTCCTTCTCATTCATAGATCAACTCACAGAAACTTCAACCTGCAGCTATGGCTTCAGAAAAAAAATAATAAAATCAGCAGTTAATTAAAACAGGTTTGTTGTTTGGCAACTTGAATCATTAAGGGCCTGGAACTGCAGGATCATCAAGCGTGCTGATTATAGCCAGCACTCAAGGAAGTCACGGCAGCTGGAATTTCAACCTACTTTTGGAAGTTATCTATTTTGGTGTTTTGGTTCTTTGTTTGTGTTTGTTTTTTGTTTTTTTGTTTTTTTTTCCCTTACAAGCCTCACAACAACAACTTGGCACTTCCATTTTCCTTATGTTTGTCTACAGAAAATAGACATACACAGAAAGTGTGTTGCCGACACCTGGCTCCAAGGTGCAGTTAATCGCAGACTCCATATATATGGTCATCATTACGAGATACCTTATGCACACCATAGTCCTTGCAAAAAGTCACTCCTACGTGCCAGGGGTTCCGAATGTTTATATTCCTTACATTTATTTGAGAGCAACCCCCTGCATATTCATCTGCACACTCTACACTGAAGGCTAAATCCACAACTGATATAATGCCTCTGAAACTAGCACAACAGGAGATTTCATGACATTGCCTTAAAAAGCTGTGAAAGGAAGAACCTGCATTTTTACCTCTTGGCCCATTTCCATACTGCAAAGCTTTGTTGACTGAGCTTTGGCATCCACCATGACATTAAACATGGTGCATATTGATTGAGGGACTCGGAAATCTGTTGACCGGCTGGTTTTCTGCAGCTTTACTTCAAATGCAATCCTGGTTCTGTTAAGGGAAGTAGAAAAAGACGTTTCAGTTGCTTTTAAACCTACCAAAGCTAATAATAATGTGAAACAATACTGAGAAGAGTTCAACAAACCAGAAAGCCAAATGCTGCTGGGAGTGTTATAGTGCAATTGTTACAAATGTGCTTTTTCTAAAAATGATTCTCCAGTTTAAAAAGAAATCCACTTTCCAGAATACACCCGATTTATAAAGTGTGCAACGGTTTCAGGGAAACTATGACTTTCTCATGCTTGATAAACAGTGTGATGATGTTACAAACAGCAGTGTCAATGTACACCTATAATTTAGTTGCATTAGCTGATTTATAACCACAGACAAATAGCAAGCCTGATGCGTTAAAGGAAGCTCCTATTGCTCCATGATATCAACTACAAATAACAGAAGCAGATTCATCGCTTGACTGAAAGGACTTTGCCAGATCATTGCACTTTTAGGTCTACATTATTTGATTTGCTGGCTGAAAGTTCCTAATCGTCTCACAAGCTCACAGACGCGGTTTCTCTGAAGCATGTGCGCTCACCAGAATACACCTGCAAAACATGCAAAAGGGACGCCGTCGGGCACGTACGAACATGTGCACACCCATCGCCCCAGCCCGCATCTCTCTGCTCTCCTGAGGTTTCTCTGTGCTCAAATTTGACACCCCTGGCAGCTACAAACCCTGTTACACCACGAGCTTTGTTGGGCCAAAGACTACAGGATTTGATGCCGTGTGGTATTTTGAAATCCCAAGGCATCTGTGACTCGAAGGTGGGGAATACTCTGCAGCAGGGTGGGCATCGCCTTGCCTTTCTCTGGAGCCCCTCTGCAGATTCCTGAGGTACTTCACTAATCCAACCTAACACAGAACAATTATCACATCAGGCAGAATCTGCCAACAAATTAACATAGGAGCTTCAATTTAGAAATAACAAATAATATCAGCTGCAGCTCAGGAATAACTCTGATCTTGAAAGATCCCCCAAGGGTTATGCAAATGAAAACTCATTTACAAATGTGAACCTCCCGTTCTTGGGATGAGATCTGAGCTGGTACGTAGGTCCTCCTGCCCGGATTTATTAGCGAAACGGGCCTCCCTTGCAAGGGCTGCTTTCCTGACAGCACCGAAATGCAACCGAGTGCGGAAGGCGGGGTGGTTCCTCCATGGTATTCAACGGTTCAGAGACAGACGCGAAGAAAAATGTTGTGTCAAACTGAAATTGCTAAAGAAACCTTAGCCAGGCCCTGTTTGCAGGTGATATAAATAGGGAAGGCAGCATATTGGTTTACATCAGCAGTGGCATTTGAACTGATTTAATTACCAGTGCCAGATTTAGCCTGGACTCGGGGACTAGAATCTTGATAATTACTGAAAGGACCCAAAGTGGCTGGGATTTTCCATCTCCTTGCAGAGATGAGCATGTTCCTACTTACTTATGCTCAGAACCATTATATATAGCCACACCATTACAAGCTGGGCCAGGTTTTTACAGAGGGCCAACATATTTGTAGAAAGGTTGAAGCAGTTGGGAAGAAAAACCCTGGCTTTCAGGCACACAAGCCCATCTTCAGATGTACCTGGGAACTTGCTTATTTTTCCCAGTTACCTCAGCTGGGCTAACCTGGTCTGACTTCTATAGGTCATCGCAGCTATAAGTGCACTGCAGGTATAGCAAAGGTGCCTTGGTTCCGATTTAAAAAAAAAAAAAAGAAAAAAAAAAAAAAAAAAAAGAAAAAAAAAAGAAAAAAAAAAAGAAAGAGAAAATAAGTGTTTTGCTGGTGGTGCTGGGGGAAGAGCAGGGAGCAGAGCTCCAGCACTGGCTTTGCTCCTCAAGGATGGTCTAACAACTGGAGGACCATTGAAGCTCAGCCAAAGGACCGAAGATGAGCTGCAGCAATAAAGGTGGACTTGCTCAACGCCGAAGACATCACGGCCATCTCATCGCACTTAAAATGCACTGGGGTTTATTCCAGAATGGTGAGATAGCAAGCCTGGAGCTGCCTGCCTTCCAGCGGGCGAATCTCCTGCTTACGTCTCGGGGACTGAACGTGCCTTCTCCTACAGTGACGTTGCGTAACCAGACTGTGAGAAACGTGTGAACGATAAATGCCACGCTCGCACTTGCAGAGTGGCCAGGCAATTGTGGTACAGAACAGCCGCATCACACATCGCAGCTAATATTAGCATCTACCAGCTGTATTTGGCACCAGTTTTTCCTTTGGTTCGTCTCTTTGTCTATTAATTTCTGCACAATGGAATGCAAAGTTCATTTCTTCCTCCTGCCTCATCACCTCTGATTCCAAACGGACATAAATTACTGCAGAAAGGTTGGAAATTTAATGTCAACATATTGCTTTCAAAATGACAGCTGCCTGTACGTTTAGAATCTTTTAAAAAAATGTCTGCAGGTGAATATCCTATAATGTGGCTGATGATACACCACCTTTTCTCAAACAGCGGCAGATGTGTAACCTGTGTGCCACACTACACGCTATTCCCTTTCTGGGATCACTTTTTTGCTTGTTTTTCCACGGATCTGTGTTTTTCAGGTGAGTGTTGGGATCTTACTTAGGGCTCTGCCTTCAGCACTCAACCTTGTCAACAGGAAACTGCATTTACAAAGACTTCACCTCATGTGTGGCACCAAAAATAAGTAACTATAGAGTAACTATATAGCTTGAAAGAATGGGTGATTTATTGCCTTACTGTCCATATCACAGAATCACAGAATCACACAATGGTCAGGGTTGGAAGGGACCTCTGGAGATCATCTAGTCCAACCCCCCTGCCAGAGCAGGGTCACCTACAACAGGTTGCACAGGACAGTGTCCAGGCGGGTTTGGAATGTCTCCAGAGTGGGAGACTTCACCACCTCTCGGGGCAGCCTGTGCCAGTGCTCCACTACCCTCAAAGTAAAGAAGTTCCTTCTCATGTTAAGATGGAACTTCCTATGTCCATATGCACTCTCCAGAGTCTGAACAGAGAAGTGCTGGCTTGGGAGAGTCCACAATTCACAGCAATTGGGTGGCTTTCCACCACTCCTGTGCTGGGCAAAGGTGCGCTGGCGTCACTAATAAATGGTGGCTGAAGTGAAGCTTCATTGATAATACAACAGAAAAAAAACATTGCATCCTGTGAGCTCCTATGAGAAACGTGACTAGCTCGCTCATGGGCACGTACCTTTTCACGCAGGACTCGATCATGTCACTCGCCATAAGCTTCAAGCGTTGCTCTAAGTGTTTTCCAAACTCCTCCTCAGGCCAGTGCAAATCCCGAATGAAGGTCTGTAGGGCATCAAGTTTCCAGAACAGATCTTCCGAGGTGCCTGATCCATTGCTGGCAGGGCAAAATGAGAACAAAAGTCATAAGTGGCATCAGGCTCTTTGTAACCTGATGTGGAGACCATTCCTGCAACAAGTGTAGAGCAGACAGTAGTTTCATACACAGGACAACGCTGGCAATCTCCACCATCAGGATTTTGAGTTTTACCATACAGTTGCCTAATCTACCTTGCTGTCATCACCCACAAAACTTTCCAGACCAGATGAGTAAGACAACATTATGAGTTACACATGTTAACAGGAAAAATGTGTGTATGGTAAAAATCAGCCTTAGTTAATAACCACATTAATGTATGTGATTATTAAGAATTAAGGCCAGAAATTGGGGTAGAAAATCCTCAATCAATAATAACTGCCATACTAGACTGTATGCAGTTATTAAGTTTTAGGGTTTCATGCAATTCTCCCCCCTCCGAATTATACCTTGAGTTTGCCTTGTCCCCCCCAGTGAGCCCCTGTTTCCAGGTAAGGGACAGTGCTAACAAGTGGTGAGCGAGGACACGCTTTATCTCTTGAACAGCTGAAAAAAAATTGGGGTAAGTCAATTGAGCTAAGGGCACTAGACATCTCACATCCAGGAGTTTTAGCAGGACCGACCGCTGTACCTTTTCACAGATCTGCCTCTTGCAAAGGCATCTATAGGACAACGAATTTCCGTTTTTTTAAAAAAAATTATTTTGCAACATCTTTGTTCTGTCACAAAACTCTGAATTTCTCTCCCAAGTGTATATTCTCGTACCCACACCCCTGCCCAGATGGAAGTCTTTGGTCCTGCAGTGTGTAGCTACACCGGCTCTTTTCACAGTATAATTATATCTCAAACCTCCACTTGCAGAATAAAAATACAGAACTGGATTGCGCTCTGTTTGTGCAGAGGAATTTGTGCATCCATAACCCTCTTCTCTCCCTCCCTCCTTCTCCCTCGCTTTTTTTTTTCAGAACAATTACCAAGGGAGCTTCAAGAGTTTCAACCCCCTCCTCGCATACCACTAATGCTAACACGGTAATTTATAAGATATTTAACACACCATGCATTACCACTTGTGCTGACATCATCTATAGAAACAGATGAGGGAGGGTGTTTCTATTGTGACAGATGCCAGCTGCATTGAGTTAATGCTAGAGGAGATCGGAGCTAATGCATACACGGCTACTGCAAGGTGAGAACCGTAGTCCCAACATGCTAGAGGGGTCCTGCGGGGTCCTGCGCTAACGGAGTTAACGAGATAAAGAATGAACCGTCTCGGTTGTAGGAGAAACGTATCTGACACTAAGCAACAGGTAACATGTCCTTGATGGAGGGGAAGGGTGAGTAAGAGGAAACCAGGGAGATGAAAAGATAAAGAATCAGGCATTTCCTTTAACCAGGGGACCGGTTTGTACAACAGTCTCAAGTGTTCATCTACCACCAGTTTTTAGTTTCGCCTGGTTCAGACCTGTGCTTGGGTATCAGTAAGCTTTAACACTCTAAGTCCAGTTTTGGAACTGCATGAATTTATGTTTTAAATAATTAAATATGTACAAATACAACAATTGGCATTTACCGCAGCAATATTATGTCACCCATTTGGTTGCAAAATTTTTAAAGTATTATTCTTGGTGTTTTTCTCACTTTTGATTAGGGCTCCGTGCAAGTAAACAATATAGTACATTAATTTCCAAGACGCAGTGTTGATATTTTGCTTGTGAGCACCGCAATTACTTTAATCATGCAGGCAGCTTGCAATACACCATTGATGCTCAAGCATTTTCAGAGGGATTATTCAATTTTCTGCCATGACATGATTCTTATCTTTTCAAGGGCAATACCACAAAGCATGCACAGAGAAAGATTAAAACTTTCAAGTACTCTTTACAGACAACTGCCTAAGCTAGCCTTTAATATAGCTATCTTAGCATGAATATGAGTTGTATAGCTTTGAAAGATAAACGACTGTGCTCATGTTGAAAAGGTTTTAAAAATCTATTAAAAAATCAGAAATTAGTGTTTGTTTTACTTCTGGTTCGTTACCACTGCTCTGCCATACAGCCTGCGTGAGGCTACTAGCAGAAGCATTTTGGTGGACTCCAGCTGTAGATGTAATCGAGGGTGTTTCAGTAACAGTGACGGGAGTAGTTTTGGGGGGCTTCTTCAGTTTTATCTTTTAAGCAAGAAGGTAGGGAAAAAGCAACACATCTGTGTAGCACTGGCTGAGATCACCCCATGCCAGCCCCAAATAACTCTCCAGGAATTCGGATGGAGAACTGGCAAGATCTCAGTTCCTGTGCTAGGGCATCTCGGGAGATGAGCTACCTCAAATGCCGAGATTTGGGTTGAGCCCACGGTGTACCATCTTCCACGCTGCTTGGTGGCTGGGACTGTTAAGGGAAATCCTCTATAAAAACAGAAGTTGCCTAATCTGTGCTAAGGATTTGCGATACGTCCACCCTGAGCTCCACCTGTGCCCCCCGGGATGCTCGCACAGGGACCTGGGAGCACGAGGCTCCTACAGATCGACTGCTTTGACGCTGTGCCGCATTTTTCAAGCCCTAATCTAAAGCTCATGTTGAAAATACCTTTCTTTAGTCGGTCACGGCATTATTCAGGCTGTAATGATGGCTATGGAGCTTCAATTGCTCTCTGGGGGTTCCCCCAACATGAATAAAAACTGTTGCAGGGTGTTCCTCTTTGTTGAACTGTTTCATCAAAATCAAGACAAAAATTATTATCTGGGAAACGCGGAGCTTGCATTAAATAATTCACTTTTAGATCTACATCTGGTCCACAGAAATTGGTTGACTGGCATTGAAATTGGTTCGTCTTCTCTTTTGGACAAAAGTCTTTGCTGAGACACATAATGTCGCATTATAAGCTCTGTGGTTCGTATGTTGTTTAGACCATGTCCCATTGTCGACAGCTATTTTGTAAAGCAAGATAACTTGCTCAAACTCTCAGTGGGAGTAAGACAAATTTTCAAGATTTATACCAAAAAACCCTCAAAAGACACATGCCAGAAATTCACTAGTGTCTCATTCAGAAAATGTCTAATTAACTGTATCACTCTTTAAAGTTTTATATAATGCACAGAAACAAACAATACATATCCATGCCAAGATTACTTTAAATTTAAATGAGATCTAATTTGAACTGAATACACACTCAGAATCATAAATAGCAGCCATCCATGACGGTGCGGAAAAGCTAGGCATTTGTGGGATGCCTAGTGGGATGTTAACTGGTAGATTTGGTACTTTAGGGAGATTCACATTTGGTAGATTCACATTGGGCAGATTACTTGTTAAACTCCTGTGGAAGAAACAGACAGAAAGAAAAAATACCATAACAGTGACAATGCAGATGTAGCAGAAGCACATGACACTCATAAACAAATCTGCAAAGTTCACAGCACGAGGACAGTTAAAAAACTAAAGCAAAACATTTCAGGAAGAAGCATGAGTATGGAAGCTTAAGTGTACTGGGTTTGCAGTCTGCAATAAAAAGCAAAAGTTACTTAAAAAAAAAAAAAAAGAAAAACCAGAATGAAAAGAAGAAGAATCACGAAGTAGCAAATCAACAGAGTATTCAAACGCCTACAGCAAATAACTCCACCTTCAAGTCCTGATACCATTTCAGAGTGCAGAGAGCAGCATTTCCTCGGAAAAATCTCTCTCGTAAGGAAGCGAGTCTCAGTTCTTACACACTCAGGCTGGATGAAAGAGCTAAACTAAGAGAGCTACTAGGGAATTGGGATTCAAAATAATAAACAGAGAGTTTGAAACTCCAGCTCTGCGGAAGTCCATAAGAGTTTCTCTTGCCACCAAATTCAACTGAGTTGGGATTTCACTCCAAAACCTCTCTGTGTATCCTACACTCTGCAAATAACAAAGATGGGCTGATCTGGAGCAACGGAATGGTGAACCACGAGGTTCTTCCTCAGTGAGGACTCGTACCCTGAGCCTGCCCTTGCGTTCCTGGGTATGGAGAAAAGGGGTCCCACAGGTCGCCCAGCTCTGCACGTGCACTGCGAATCAATCGCATTTAATAAATCCAGGACTGGCATGGGAACGCTTCTTGGCTGGAAATGGGCCATGGGGTGACTAAGACATCCAAAGTTTAATTTATGAAGCATGTATACTTGGGCGTTACGACTTCAATAAATATCTTCAGCCATGCAACTGTTATGCAAAAATAAAAAAAAATCTTTTCAAAGTGGGCCAGCCAGCATATTAATTTAATGCGATGTACTCTCCTGAAACAACAGGCGGCGTTAACAGCAAAGTTTGCAAACCACCCTGATCTATTTTAGTGTGCCAGGTCTCTAGTTGGTATACTTGGTCTAATTCTATTCTAATAAGTATCTCATCACAGTTATATTTTACATGCAAAATAAAAATGTCATGGGATTTGCGAATCAGAAGCCAGCTTTATAAGTGTATCTCGTTTCTGCCTTAAACCAGTAATACTATGTGGCACACTGGGACACAGTCCATAGATGGTTTTACAGTCCCATTTGAGGCGTTGACACCGTTTTCACTGGATCTTTATTTGGGCTCAGGTAAAATGGAATCAGGAGTTCAGGATTTCAGCTTCACCCTGCACTGCTGGAGCTACCGAATGCTTTTCGACTGATGTGCTTCAGCGTTCAAACTTCCCTGCTCTCAGTGACCGCAGCGGGACTTGCCACCATAGGAGGTCTCTCCCATTCCCCTGGATGAAATTCCTCTACAGGTACCATTATCTGGACTCTTGGAAAACTATCAAATTATACACTATGTCTTCCAAGGAATATTAAAATCTTAGCATCTTCTTTGAGTCATATTTTGAACTCCATTTCATACTGGAAGTTTTGTACATCAAGAACCAAAGTAATGGAATTGAGCTGGCTATACTGAAAAAATGTTTCCTAACGCAACACAAGATTTGAACCACATCTCTGTGAGAGCTCAGCTTGTCATTGGTGGCAAGTCTTAGGGAGTAGACTTTATCCTCATCCTCCCTTTGTGAATAAAATCTCTTGTTGGGGAGGAAAATGGCAATCCAAAGTCTTTCTAGTGAAAAAACCAAAGGTGCCTTCTTGTTTTCTTGTTTCTATGATTCTTAGTAGATTTGACTTCCTGCTATCTGCTTGTTCTCTTTGTTAGGCAGTAAGCAGATATGAGAACTTACTAACATAACAAAGCTGTCCATTGTTTCCATTCATACTGTATCTGCTGTTAAGATGATATGATTATTGAATGAGACACAGACTCCATAGTGATTGAGAGAGTGTTAAATCTTCAGAAATGGCAGTGCATGTGGTTAGATACTGATATGGAATAAATAAAGAAATAGCAAGAGGTGGACAACATATAAATGTATAAGGAAAAGCAACTTAAATAACTTAGCCAGATGGTAAATACATAAATCAGAGGACCTTTGGTTTTAATATTAAAATTCAAGAAGTGACAGTGTTATATTAATAAAAACACTGTATTAATAAAATATGACTTCTAGAGTAAACAGTATACTATATTCACACGGAAACATATTTCTTTTATACAACACATTATTTTGCTGATGCAAGGATATGTTGCAAGAATAAGTTAGTACTCTTAAAACAAAACAAAACAGCAAAATAATGGAGTATATTATGTTAACATACAGTAACTAATTTTAAAAATATTCTCCTGAATTGACATGCACAGTTTTGCAGGTTCAACCAATCTAATTATCTGACTAACAGTTGCAGTGAGACCTGTAAAAAATGATTAATATTCCCAACAAATGTTCCAGCCTGCAGTTGCTCAGACCATAAAACTACAGGTCCAAGATGAGAAACTGTTTCTAGAAGCCAGCCATGCCTATTTAATATAGATGGCTAAATATAACCTCAGCCATCAGGCAGGGAATGTGGGCATTTGCATCAACAAGATGAGGGCTGTCTGATTTAAGACGACTCAGCTTCAGGACTGGATCCTGATATGTCTGGTAAAAGACGCGTTCTCTGGAGCTGTATTGCTTGTTTTCTTGCCTTCTTCTGATTCACCTCCGTTTGTGTCTGGTAGCTCTGTAAATGGCTCTCACCTGTGCTGTCTGCTGGGAAATCTGCAGTGCAAACAGACTGGCAACATACCCCTGGAGAGCATCCCGAGGCTCACACTGTACCGTAGCACCGACCACAGAAAACAAGTCCCATTGCACTGGGGCTGCTCCTGTAGAGCTGCCCTAGTACTGAAAGGAGGGCAGGAAAATCACCGTATTTTTACTGAGTTGTCTCCTGGCTTCAGAACAGAGCTAGACGAGAGCCTTGTCCACACTTAAATGCTCAGTTCCTGTGGGATGCCTGAAACGGTTTAGTGATGGAAGATGCAAACGCCTGTCTCTTCCATCACTATAAATGCTCACAACCTTACTGCCTAGGCTGAGCAAATGCTCAAGAGCAAATCTTTTCGCAAAAGCCTTGATGTGAAGCAAAGAGCTTGATAGTGAAGTAGGCAGTCAAATCTGTGCTCTTCCTCTGACTGACACCCAGAATAGTAACAAAAAATACTCATTTTCACTACAACGGTGCTTCTTTTAAGGGGAAATATTTTTCACTAGCATTTTGTAGGAGTACAACTTCATCAAATGATTAGTATAATAATACTGCTTAAGTTCTTACACTTATATTAATGATACATCTATAAATAGCTTGCAAAGGGTTAGCGAGCAATTAATAGATGCTAAAGCCAGGACTACAGTGCGATAGAGACAGCCACAGGTCAATGAGTAACGTCCTCGTCAAGCGACTGAAATTGGTTGCCATTGCACCGGCTTTAGCATTTGCTCAAAAGGATCTTTCAACACAGACACACACACAGAGACGCACACACACACGTACGTGTCTGCTGGCTGCAAGATAAATCAGCGTTCTCTGAGAAGCTAGCATGAAAAAAAAAAACCCACCCTATTGCAAACCCTACTTTTCCAAGACCTCTCAACTCACCAGAGAACAGACCTACTCTGTATCCTCCGTATTTGGATGACTGTGCGAAGGACAAGTGTTCCACATTTCTCTGCGTGGATTCATACAAGCACACCAGCTGCTCTAGCTATAGGGCACGGACCCCCTGCAAATTCAGCAGCTCTGCAGAGGCAGATTACATAGCCCTCATGAGCACATTACATCGATGCTTCCCCCCCTCCATGTTTTCAATACTTAACAGTATCTCTTTCACTGTTTGTGATTTCTATACCTAACTCCTCGTAGCATAAGGTGCAAAGTATTCAGCAATGAAAATAGAAGAAATACATGCTTGCAAACTGCCATCTGGTCAGGTTATGGAGGGCTACATATTTCAGCCTTGATTGCAAGCACAAGCATAGAGAAACCCTTTCAAAAGACTCCACGTTGTGGAATAATTTCTTGGTTAACAGGAGATAATGAGATTTCCTTCTCACAATTCTCTGTAGAGATCCAAAGCACGACAACAGTAAGCTCGGTGGAACAGAGAGCCACGATGATCTACTGATTCTGGCCAACCTGAAGGGCTTTCTTCAAAGCAGAGGAAAGCCGTAGAAAAACATACTGCATAGTGTTCCCAATTCCCCAAAAGCTTTGCTGGAGAGGTGGCAATGGAAGGCCATGACTTGGATGGGGACTGGCTGGTCCAAAGCGTTTCAGAATCAATGGCCAGAAGTTCAGCTGTGCTGCAGTATGGACATATGGGGGAGAAGGAGGTAGATACATGAGGGAAAGTCAAACAAAATAAGTCTCTGACCTGAGCTCTTCTGCAAGTTCGCTGTCGATCAGACAAAGAGGAGCAGGTGGTCTGCCCAGGAGGCAAAAGATGAAGATGCCTTAACATTTAGTTCTGAACAGCACATCCAAACTGTCATACGATCCTAGGAATGACACCCCTCTCTTCCCTTACACAGTAGGTGCCACTCTGTGCGTTCACTGGTATGTTCCTTCACCGGGTCACCTCGCGTTAAGCCAGCATTTGCAACTCACACTTTTGTGTGCGAGACACAAGAACAAAATACCAACTAGTGAAAAAAAAACAACCCCGGAGTGCATCTTTTCACCAGATGGACACAAGCTTCTTGTGAAAAGCACCCACTTTCCTGCTGGAAGAAATCTTTTAAATACCCAAGTCTGTAAGACAGATAGTCCATCCTGGGCTTTCGCTTGAAACTCCAACAGTCAAAGCACTCTGTAACTGGAACTCCAGAAGGGAATAATCATTACAAGAGAACTAAGAAAAGATCTTTTATAACTATCAAAGATAACTTGAAAATGATAGATAACGGCATACCCAGACATAAAGCATTTTGACAGGCAAGTACCACAGCCAAGTACTCATGGACATCTATCGTTAAGCCACAAAAGTCACTAAAAGCCAAAACGATGCCAGCTTCTGACAAAAGAAAAAAGCAGAACAAATTGCTTATTGACTGCTTGACTGAGGGGGACAGGTACACGGAGTTAACTGCCTCTGTTTAATAACAGACAAGGAAATACAAACATATTCATTACTAAAGCAGAGCTCTGAAACGAAAGTTAAAGCTAACTTCAAAGTGCAATTCTGCTTGAAGGAGTGGCTGTAAAAATGGCATTCTCCTACTCGGAAGATCTATTTCTTGTATGTTTTCTGGGTCACATCTGCTTATTTGAAACAAGATTTTTTAGGATTTTTAATTCTGTTAGCCTGCAGACCAAAGACAGCAAATGGAAAGAGAGAGAATCCTGAATGCCAGCCACTTAACCCCACTCAAAGCAGAGGGGATGATCAGGTGTCAAGAAAAGGCCCGAGATTTGGCAGGCAGAATCCTTACGGCTGCTGAGGATGCACAAGAAAGAAAGGAAAAAACCTGGGTGCTCAGACTCCAGGTTGCATATGGGAGGCTGGCTGCTGAACAAAATCTCTTTTCCTTGTAAACGGAACATATTTGGTGTGAAAAGCCCTGAAAGACCACACGTTCTTTTACACAGCAACCTCTGAGAGTGCAGCGCCACTTAACTTTGCCTAGAGCATCACAGAAAAAGCAGGGAAAATAGTCTTTCCAGAGGTCACCTGGTCCAAATCCCCTGTCTGAGCCACCGCCAGACTCATGCTGTTTGCAAAGGGTTGATCTCTCTCTTTTAATACCTTTATTAGAAGGAAAAGTCAGTTCTTTTCCTTTGTAGGATCTGACTTGGATCTTTAGAGCAAGCATGACAGGGTTCAGCACTGCTTCCAAACCTGTGAAATAACAACAGTAATCCAAAGCACATGCCACATTTTCATCATTCACCAGCTCTTGAGTTCAATTTGGGTTTCTCTCAGGCTACTCATTTCTTGCTGGTAAATTCCCAGTTCTCTAAATTTAGTAATTGATTCTGCTTGAATCACCTGGCTTGTGTTTCACGCTGGTTTTTGCACGTTTAATCCTCCAGGCCAGGGAGCTGGGACCCGGCAGAGCTGCCCTGGGACCCGGGGACAGGCGCAGCCCCGAGCCGCGGGGCTGACGCGAGAAGCACAACGTGGCACTACCCCTCCATGGGGGGGAGGGAGTGGAAGAAATGAGTGTTGGGAAGAGTAAGTACAGCAATGACTCACACAGGTTATGGGGCTGGACTGAACACACTGAAGCAAGGCTTTTTTTTTTTTTTTTGTTCTGAAAAGGAGCTATTTGAGTTCAAAAGCAGCACTGGAAAAGGCCTTTTGGAATGGGATCCAAAAAGCCATGCCAGCTAAGAAGGTTTTCACATTTTCATGCTTCCATGTCCAAAGGCACACGGTTGATACTGAGGCAGCAACGCATTTCAAAAAGCAAATACCATTTCCCTCATCATTAACTTGAAAACCCTGAAGAGATCAGGCCTTCTGTTTTTAGCATTAAACTAGAAAATCTAAAGCGCTTTCTGCATGTCCAGTCTAATGTTTGCTAATTCATCTCTGTACGAATCTCCATCCATTTGCACCCAAATTCCGATTATCAAAGGAGGTTTCCTTACTTTACTGGCTCCCATGACTCCCGCTCAAAGCCCCTGTGAATTGACTGTGCAATTGAGGACTCCATCAGATCGACATATCTAACAACAAGTGGAGCAAACAGGTCTTGGAGGTGTTTGTGGAATTTTCCATTGCACAAATTATCTAGAATAGATAAATAAAAGTATAGTAAGACACTACTGTTACTAAAAGCTCTGTAACAAACCACAGCGTGGCACTTCATTACACAATGAATTTGTCAGCGAACAAGAAGAAACTTCAAGAAC